TAGTCTGACAATATCTCTCTTTTCATTGGTAGACATAATTATCAAGACAGCTGGGTTTACATCTACCATATCTTCCCGTTTGTTTTTTATTTGTTCCATTGGTTCTTTGTTCCTTTTTTCCTCTTATTTCTGATTGATTTTTTTTTTTTAACAATTTCACTTCCATTTTCACATTAGGATTATTCACTCTATCTCTTTGTTTTATACTTTTAGTCTTGTTCTAAGATTTGCATTCTACATGTATCAGTCTACCTTCAAATACTATACCACTCTGCATATATTGCTGGAACTTTACAACACTTTACTTTCGTTCTTCCACTTATCCTTTTTGCTATTGATACGATGCATTTTTTTCCTCCATATGTAACATATAAACCTTGAAATACATTGTTATGAGAAAAATAAATTTTATATGCCAGTCAAGTACTTTCTATTCCTTTGTAAGATCCCTGTTTCTATATGGTATAATTTTGCTTCTGTCTGAAGAGCTTCTTTTAATGTATATTGTTGTGTAGGTCTTTCGGTGATGAATTATCTCAGCTTTGGTACTTATGTAAAGGTTTTTATTTCACCTTTATTTTTATTTTCTCTGAATATAAAATTCTATGTTGACAGTTTTTTCCTTTAGCTCTTTAAAGCTATTATTCTATTGTCTTCTGGTTTGTACAGTTTCTAATGAGGTTTTTTTTTCTTTTCTCTGTATCAATTTAATATTTTTATTATTCCATTTTATCTTGTTATAGTTTTCATTTAAAAAGTCAGTGATCTTTGAAAGAAAATTTAAAAATTTTAAAAACTTATATATTTACCCATGTAGCTATCATTTCCAGTAATTTCATCCCTTTGTTTCGATCCATATTTCCACATAGTATCATTCTCCTTCTGGCTGAAGGACTTCCTTTAACATTTTTCTAAGTGTAAATCTGCTGATGATAAATTCCTTCATTTTTGCCCAGAAAGTCTTTATTTGATCTTCATTTTTTAAAGCTGTTTTCGCTGAGGATAGTGAAAATATTTTTCTTTAAAGAAATTGCCCCATTGTGTTTTCATTTTCATTGTTTCTGATGAGAAACCTGTTGTTGACCTTATCTTTGTTCCTTTGTATATAATATGTCTTGTTTATCTGGCTGCTTTTTTCTCTTTATCATTGGTTTTAAGCAATTTGATTACTTCCTCCTTCCCCTTTTCTCTTTTTGTTCAGGGATTCCAATTACATATATATTAGGCTGCCTGAAATTGTCCCACATGTCAGTAATGCTCTGATTATTTTAAAAAATTCTCAGGCTGGGTACGATGGCTCATGTCTGCAATCCCAGCACTTTGGGAGGCCAAGGAAGGAGAATAGCTTAAGCCCAGGAGTTTGAGATCAGTCTGGGCAACACAGAGATGCATAATCTGTACAAAAAATAAACTAGCCAGGTGTGGTGGCTCATGCCTGTGGTCCCGGCTACTCAGGAGGCTGAGGTGGAAGGACCACTTGAGCCCAGGAGGTTGAGGCTGCAGTGAGCTATGACTGGACCACTGCATTTCAGCCTGGGTGACAGAGCAAGGCTCTGTCTCAAAATTTAAAAAATTCTCTTTTCTTTCTGTGTTTCATTTTACATAGTTACTATTGTTATATATTCAAGTTCATATATTTTCTTCTCTAAGTAAAATATGCCTAAGCAGTTTGTTTTTCATCACACATTGTAGTTTTATATCTAGAGGTTCATTTTGGGTCTTTTTTATATTTTCCATGTCTCTACTTAAATTTGTGAATTTATCAAATATAGCTACAATAACTATTTTAATGTCCTTTCTTCTAGTTATATAATCTAGTTAGTTCTGGCCTGATTTTGACGGATTTATCCTTTAAGGGATGTATTTTCTTGCTGCATGGCATGTCTGATAATTTTTGTTTAGGTGCTAGACATTGTAAATTTTATTTCTTGTGTTCTAGATTTTTTATATTATTATACATATTCTTAAGCTTTGTTCTGGGACATGATCTGCTATCTATAGGCCTTTGGGTCTAAATCTGTTGTTCATTGTTTTTATTCATCCTCACGCTTTGTGGTTTATTTCCTTAAGCTGCTGCTGACCTTTTTTTTTTTTTTTAATTTAATGAGCACAAATTTAGTTGCTCTGACTCTGCAAAAAACCTGAGCACCTACATTTTGGATGTTTCCCTTAAAAGAGTATTATTATATGACTCTGCCAGGAGCTGGGTATGCTACCTACCTAGAACCTCTTTAGGACCCTTTCAGGTCCTCTCCTTAATCAAGAATTCATCAGTTCATCTTCCCTTTTTTAATAATGTTATCAACATATGCCCTGCCTTTCATGTGTGCTTACTGGTCACTACTTTAGTTTCTTTTTTTTTTTTTGGTCCCATGGATGTTTCTTGTCTGCAAGTATAGCAGAAAGGCCCCTCACACTATGTAGTGTACCATGGCGCCAGAAGTAGAAACCTGGGTTTCCTGTCCTATTTCATCTCTTGTTGATTCCCTAAACACATGACTCAAACATGGATATCTCACTTGCCCTTGGACTTCACCTATGACCTCTATTTGCAAGACTTTTCAATGTATGGTTCCAGCTTTAACGGTTCCACCATTTTAAGTCCCACATTCCTAACTCATTATCGGCCATGTCCATCTGCACATCTAATTTAGACTCAGTGCAGTCAAATCAAAATACAGTGCCTTTATGTTCTATCTCCACATGTCCAAGACTTTTTCCTTCCACTTAAAAACCTTAAGCATTTCAAGTTAGGTAAGTTTTTCAGTATTTTGGGGTTTTTTTTTAGAGGCAAGCTCTGGCTATGATGCCCAGGCTGGAGTACAGTAGCTATTCGCAGTCATTATCACAGCACACTGTATCCCTGAACCCTTGGGCTCATGCAATCCTCCTGCCTTAGCCTCCTAAGTAAGTGGGACTGTCACAGGTATGTGCCAGTACCACTGGCTTTCAAGTTGGAAGAGATTTAAGAGCTCATTGGGGAAAATGAGGACCAAGGACATTAACATTTTGCTCATTACTTCCAATTATTCCCCTAAAATGCCACTTTTGTTATGTTTCTTCTCTCTCAAACAACTTGAGTGGTTTCCCTTTTGTCTAACCCTTAAGATGCTTGCAGATTTTATGGTCAGTGTTTTCCCTACAATAGTCCCTTTCTCTGTCCCTGCAATAATCCTTTCAAATAAAGTCTCTCCTTAGCAAAAACAAAACAAGGTATTTCAGTGATTTTCTAGTGTTCACAAGATTTTAGCTTGGTACTTAAGGGTTATCAGAATCTGGTTTCATTGTCCACAATATCAAGATATGAGGCCTCTGCTGTAGGCAAATGAGTCTGTCTCCCCAAATTTTATTATTCCTCACAGCACTCAGCCTAGGAGACTCCTGTCCTCATCTAATTCTACTGAAATCCTACCTTTCCTCAAAAATAAATCTTAAATATCAATTCTCTCTCCAGTTTTACCAAACCAAAATTAATTTACCCATCTGAACTTTTCAGGTATTTCCCATCTATAAATTCATAAAACGCTTGTTAAATTCTGCTTTGTGTGTAGATTTTTTCTATTTTATGTTATTTCAAAGTTTCCCCAGGCAGAAAGCCACCATTCTGTATTCCCTACAATGCTTAGCACAGTGCCTGACATTTGGAAGCTCAGTGAAGTTGGGTGAAAGAAGTAAACTCAAGAATCCCTTACCTTGGTGATGTCTGTGTGGTCTTTGAGCCCGTTGGTCATGCACCAATATCGCCACACATTCAAGGCGTACCGCGTGGCTTTGGTAGTATTTGGGCTCACTGCACTGGTACACAGATCATTCAAGTCATCATTAATATTAAATACAGGAAATTTGTTGAGCTTAGTGGAATAAGCTAGAAACAAAAACAATAAAAGCATTAAAATAATTTGCCATTCCCTTCTTTAGAGAATTACATCTTGGGATGTTAAAAAACAGAAAACTCTAAAAGATAACACTTTAAAACATGGAATGTCTATTAAAGTATATGTATGTATATTATGTGTGTGTGTATGTATA